TCCCCACTGACAGATGGGGCCTGCTCCCAAAGCAGACCTCCTCRAGGACATCCTGTTAAAACAAAAAAACCTGGCCTGCATCCCCCAGGGRGACACCCCAGCGCTGTGTGGACTGCTCTCAACACATTTCCTGAAAGACCCCAAGACACTTTTCTGGAACTCTAAACCTGTGCATTATTCGGTAACCTGCCCAAGTGTGGATGCAGGTGGGCCACCAGAGACAGACAGGCACCAGGACTCTGGGYGGTGTGCTTGAGCATTCAGAACCATCTGATTCTTTGCATAGTTTCCTTTGATATCATTAGATGGTTCAGGAATGGAAAAGACACCCACGCTAGAAAGGCAACCCGMAAGTAACTGATTCTTTTAAAATGAAGACAAGGCGTTGCCCTCTCCTGACTCAGAGATCACATCTATGAGTCCTAACCAGTTTTAGGTGGAAGACAAGTGAGAGATATCTCATGAAAACTTCAGCCAGAAGTATAAAAAAAGTAATTTTTCTTAAAGACAATTAGAAAGAAACGTGCCCCATCCCCGATTTTTTTTTTTTTTTTGGTAACTTGAAATCTGCCAGCCAGACAGGGTATCTGAAGGTTAATCTGCTTCTGTTAATCCTCAATTGAAGCCACTGTCATTTTTCTGACACTAGACACATCCCTTTTAAAAGCCACCTCTTGTGCACCGGGGCTGGGCCTTCAGGAAACAACCCAAAGCAGAAGCAGAGGACTTAAGAAACCAATGGTGTGTGGTAAGGATTGCAAATAAATTAACTGGGCACAGAATGCAATGCCTTGGTGTTCAGGTGGTGTCCACTGCTCTTGGGGGGGGGAGGGCACATGGGAGGAAACAACACATTTTTTTGGTCATGAGAAAATGGACTATAAATCCGCGCCCTGGMCACACAATTCACTTAGATTTTTTCGTGAATCTTTTCAACTTTCACAAACAACCTATCCAGATCATTTCTCAGGTCATCTAGTAGACCCTTGGCTGATTCCAAGTTGTTCTCGTTGGTTTCGATTTTGACCGAGTAGGCTACCAAACTGTCCACAGCAGTCCTGAGCATTTTCAAGTCCGACTCCACCTGGCTCACTGAGGATTTCAGGTTGTCTAGAGAAGAGAGTCTGTCCAGGAAGTCCTGAGGGGGCAGACGCGCGGCCTGGGCCTGGGCTCGGTCCTGACTGAGCAGCGCGTGCACCTGCTCTTGCACCTTCTGCAGCGATTCCACGGTGCTGGGGAGCTCGCCCACGCTTCTCTTCAGCTCCTCCACGTCGCCGTAGAGCGCCAGCTGGGCCTCCCCCAGGCTCCTCACGGTGCCAGCCAGGCTGTCCTTGTCTGCCTCGGACGAGGACCCCAGGCCTTCCAGGTGCTCCTGCAGCGCAGCCAGGCGCTGTTCGTACTCCTGGCTCTTGGTCAGGAGCGACTCCAGGCTATCGGTCTGGCGTGCAGAAGCCACTTGCACGGATTGGACTTCATCCTCTAAGTTCTGGAGCCTGGAGTCCAGACCCCGACTCTCTTTCTGGAGCGCATCTAAGGCGTCGGGGGTTCTGGAGGACCCGTCTTCCTCCGGCCTGTGGGACTCAGCCTTCAGCTGGCGGAGCTCCTCCTCCAGCCTCCGGATCTCCTCCGGGAGGCGGGAGGTGGACTCCTCGGACTGCAGGAGCTTCTTGGTGAGGGCCTGCAGGGCCAGGCGCTCCGAGTCCGCCGCCTCCTTGAACGCCTGCTGCTCCTGCTTGAGGCTCACCAGCTCCCGGACCTCGGTGTAGACATCAGACTCCATGGTCTGCAGGGAGCTTCTCAGGGCCTCCATGTCCCTCTCCCTGGACTCCGCAGAGGTCTGTATCTCTTTCACCGCATCCTTCAGGRCTCTCAGGTCCTGCTTGTACCCCTCGGATTCTTCCAGAGAGGCGACCTTCGCCTTCACGTCATTTATTTCCTTCTGGCTCCTCTTCTGGACCTCAGTGAAGATGGCGATGTTGTCATTGATGGACTTGGTGAGCTCCGTCAGCCTTTCCTCCACTGTGTTCTCCAGGGACGTGAAGTCCCGCTCGCGCGCATCCTTCACCACGTGAATGCCGTCAGAGAGGTCTTTGAGGATCTCGTTCTGGAGTTTTTGCAGAACTTCSCCGATCCTGCTGATCTCACTCTCCCCCTGTTTCACTGCTTTCTCTGTGAGGTCTTGCTTATGTTGGGAGCTTCTCAGGATAGACTCGAAAGCCCCAAATGTGGTTTGCAGAGACTGTACCTGTAGCCAAAAGCCAGACATTAGCTGTAGAAGAGTCATGAGTTTTACAGGTACAGCTACTTTGTTTTCAGTCTGCCCAGCCTCCAGGTCCCTTAACTCTTCCAGAATGGCACTACAGTACTCCAACTTTGAAGAGCTCTCCTTTCACATGTAGCCCATGTCATAGTTGTGGGGAACAAACTTAGGACTCCCTCCAAGAGCCCCAGGGATGGCTTATAACCCTGGCCTGAACAATGGGCACTTTCCACCCACCCTGAGTCACACTGACTAGCCAAGCATGGGCACATGTGCTAAGGCAGACCAAGGAAGCAGATCTAGGACTTCTGTTAAAACTACAGGGGAAGAAAACTTTCTCCAAAGGGACTGTTAGCTACGGGATCAGGTAGACCTGGAGCTGCGTAGACCAACACATGGAATGCCTATCTAGGAATCAAGCCAGCACAGCTGAGAAATGGCCAAGGTTTGCAGACATCATTTGAATCCCTGGATAYAGCTATAGCTGAAGGAATCTACTCTTGAACTTTGCAGTTTAAGCCAGTCAATTCTCTCCCTAAGCCACTTAGGGCAAAATTTCTACCTCCTTCAACTGCAAGAGTCTTCAAGTTTTTGTAGGAAAGAAACCGATACACAGATACTCTGAGCTGGAAGTCAAGACAAGGATCCAGGTCTTAACTCATCACTTCCGGCTATGTGGCCCTAAACTAGTCATTGTTCTCCATGGCCCTCATTCAATCTTTTATTCTGAAGTACCTCAGAAGCCCAAAGATCCCTAGCACCATCTGCAGACCAGTGCCAAAGGAATAAACTGATCCCGCAGGCTCTGGTTTGGTGAACACACTGGGATTTTGTCTGCTTCTACATATTCCTTCTTAAAAAAYTCTACCATGAATGAGGCCTGACCTGAGAACTACCCAGGGGAACTGGTTTAACATATAATGAGGCTGTAGGATGATTAAGAACCGGGGAGGCATTATCCTGACACAGCATTTGGTGCCATCTATAATGTTTAGTTTGGAAAAAAAAAAAAAAAGGAAGAAAAAGAAAAAAAGGGATAGAAAGATCTATCAAGTCCCTACCTCTAACAGCCAATTCTCAGGATCTGCAAGAAAGGGACATGGCATGATGTGACCAGCCAAACCCACATGTGGAAAATTGTGCAGGATAAATGATCCTGGTCAATACTGAACAAATAAATGGCATTTTATCATCCATTTAAAAAGTTTAAGAAATTTTCAATCAAAAATGTGCATTTCATATGGATCCTGACTCAAACCAACAATAGAAAGACAGTCTCAGGGAGAATCAAGGAAATCTGACTATTGTCTGGTATGAGGTTCCAGAATMTCTGCAGCTGGGGTGTAGCTCAGTGGTAGTCTTGCCTAGCATATGCAAGGCTCTGGGCTCTATCCCCAGTATGGTGCCATATCCTGTGTTTTGTTTAAAACAAATAAGGAAGAAAAGAAATTTATTTCTTACTGGTTAGAAATAAATCCTAAAATACCTTGGGTGAACTAATGGCTCTCATTTTAAAATTAGTTCCTGGTGCCCTCTCCCCTAGGTCTGCAGGGTGACGTGGGCTCCTCTGAGGGATTAGAGCTTAACCACCATTATGTTCCGAAGCCCTGGACCCACCTGTTCCAGATCAATCTTCTGAATAAGGACAGGCCAGCCTCTGCCTGTACTATGGCCATTTTCCAATACCAAGTACAAGTGGAGGACAGAGGCCAGGTGTGCCCCCGACAGGGTCACAGAGGGGTTCAGGGTCAGGCTGCTCGGGAGGAGAAGGGAGGTGGTGAAATGAAACAAGAATGGTACAATACTGATAATTATTGAAACTGGGGTTCATTATAGTGTCCTCTTCTTTTGTTTATGCTTGAACATTACCATGATGAGAAGTTAGAAAATAAAGTAATATAGACTCTGTAGCCAGATTGCTTTGGCTCAAATCCTGGTTTTGACACTTTCCTGCTGTGTGATCCTGGGTATGGTACCTAACCTATCTGTGCCTTGGTTTCCTCAGCTGCATGAGGGGAACAAAAACAATACCCAACTCACAGGATTGTCATAGTAAGGTTAAATGAGTTCATATAAGTAAAGTGCTCAATCATGCCTAAAACACAGTGAAGGTCTGCCTCCATTCCTGTTGCATCTCTATTCAGAAGTCCTGAAGATTCACAGCACTAGCTGCAGCCTGATGTCAAAAGGAAGACTAGTTGAAAACACAATGGGACACCTGGGTTCTACTCCAGTCACACCAATAACCACTCTGAGCAGTTACACTAGCTTTCCAAGTCTCAGGTTCCTCATCTTTTAGACAATAGGTCTCTCACATCCCTTCTAAATTCAGTCTGTGATTTTCAGAAAGTAGAATAAGGTTCTCCAGGGCCTCCAGAATATTAGCCAATTTCTCTGCCCAACCAAATGCAACCTGAGTCATAAAGGACACTTTGAGAAGGTACTAGAGAGAACTAGACTCTGAAACTAGGTTATTAAATCACAGTACCTGCCTGTTCTAAGCATAGCACTCAAATTAGAGGTGTGAGCGGCCGAGCACAGCACTTGCCGCTCACAGCACTTGCCACATGGCAGGCAAGACCCGGTGCTTTCTGAATGATCCAAAGCATGAATTCAGAGCAAAGGCTGATGAAAAGCTGATCTGCTCCCTATTCCTGAATGTCACCCCTAACCTGGGCTGGCTCGTTACACATGGTTAGAAAGGGAATTAGGTTAGAAATTATGGATAAAACCAAGCCAGTCAACCCCCTGTAACTAAAAAAAAAACAATGTCCCCACACTGAGGGTACTGTGTTCATCTTTAAGTGCATATTAATCAACAGGTATTGAATGTACCTGTTCTCCCCACGTATGTGGGATGCCCACTAAGTGGCGAGCACTGGGGAAGAAGCCAAGAGATAAAATAAAAGCTAGGCCAGGATCCCTGCCCTCAGGAGCCTAGCTGGGCCAGGAGTGGGGGTTTAGGAACTGTCCTTAGTAATGGCTGACATCAGCGGAGCATTTCTGTGTATAGTAACTATCAAAGTGTGAGTGGTAGGTGGAGCATCATCTAAGTCCCAGAATGTCCGATCTCAGAACCGGAGCTCTTAATCACTGTGACGTGCTCAGGCAGAGATATGTTCAAAGCACACTGAGGGCCTAGAGAAGAGGCTGCCAACGCCCAGAGCCCGGACTACTGGTTCAGAATCAAAATGAGAAAACCAAGAAATAGGGCCAGAAAACTGACTCTCTCACAAACAGCTTCTCCTTTCATAAACTACTTCTAAGATCACTTTTTGCCACCCTGGGTGTGCCAGGGCAACACGAGCTCTTCTGAGGGTCCAGAATTCAACTGCCAACCTTTTCTAAAGCCCTGGACCCAACTGTGCCTAAATTTTCTGGGTAAGGACAGGCCAACCTCTTTTCCTGTGCTATGTCCATTCAGGTGATCTGGGACAGTTTTCCATACTGATGAACTTTTGGAAAACAAGAGATACCAGGTGGGGAACCAAATCCTATTCCAGTCTAAGATCCCCCACTTATGGTGTGACCTGAAATATGTCATACAACCAGTCCATGTATGCTCTGGAATAAGTTACACAACCAGTCTTGGCTCAATTGCCCCATCTGTGAAATGGTGCTAAGTGCTATCTACCTCAGATAGCTAGGAGAAATGAAATTGTGGCCAAAAAGCACTTAATGGAGTATCTGGCCCACAGAGACTACTAATTATGAATAATACTACTCTAAGTGCATTTCTCTGCCAAGAACCAAAACTCAACCCCGACAGAGACTTAAGAATCATACAGGGGTTCAAACGTAGGTTGTCAGAGAACAGGCAGTACTGGCTCCTCAGCACAAAATAACTTCCTTACTGGCCTCATAAAAGATGCAGGAAGAAGTGGCCACACACTTTGGGAAATGCTAATAAGACTGGACATATTGAACACCGTTCCATACCAGGTAAGGCAAGGGAAATATAATGAAATAAACAGCTGAGTGGTTGAGTGCCCCAGGAGTTAGACTACAGTGTGAATCCAGCCCGGCTGCTTGCTAGCTGTGTGACTATGTAGTTATATAGCTCCACACTTTCCTCACCTGGGAAACGGGACAGGTAATAGCACTCACCTCTTGGAGTTGCTGTGAGGTCAAAAGAGATGATATATTTTCCGATGTTTAGGACAGTGCCTGACACATAAGCGCACAATAAATGTAAGGCACTGAACAATGGCTTAATTATACTACTAATTAAAAGAAAGGTGGTCACTGTGTCCTCAGCTTCAGAGCCAAGAGGATTCTTAAAAATCTCTCATTGTGTGGATGGGAAACTGAGGTCCAAAAAGCAAAGTGTTCCACACATACCTGGGACCGAGAAGGGGTGAGAATCAGAAAGGAGGGACTAAGGGAGAGAYAAGGAGGAAACCTAGGAAACCAAGCCCTATTTTTTCAATCTGGACTCAAGATGTCCCCATTTAGGCCTCAACTTCCAACATCCCCTAATTTTTCCTAAAATGCTACTCTGCTATAGGCAGGGGAGCCACCTCCTGTCCCTTAAACGTGTTCAAGAATGTTCCTTGCCTGCGAGTTCTTCACATTCCTTCTCTGAACATTCAGCCATCACCAACTAGATGATTGTCTCTACCCCAGACAGGGGCCCAAGGAAATTCCACACCTCCCTCTTCCCAATCTGCACAGAGGCGACCCTAACTGCCACCTACCTATGTGCTGCTTCACAAATATGATTTGTCTTATGCTCTTCCACCGGGCCTACACAGAGCTATATGACTACCAGACTTAAATAAATATTATGATTGATTAGCAAGTGGGTGGCAGAAAGCAAAAAATGGGCTAGTGATTAGACTCCAGCAGGATGTCTATTTTGTAAAGATGATGTGACACTCAGGATAGGCAAAGCAGCACTGCCTACTTAATTCCCTTATAAAAGTCACCTCCCTTAGCCTGCAGCATTTAGCAGGCTGACTCATCCCAGTTGCTCTGCCGGTCTTAAGAGGAAATTCCTAGTCCTGCACACTCAACAAAAGTGGAGAGACTTGGCAGGACCGGCAGCATGCTGGGAAAAGGAGGCAGTGGTTCCGGGCTCAGAAGTGGCGGGATTTTTTGTTTCGGTCCTGCCACCAATTTCCCATTCAGTATGACACGGAAGGAATATGGAAGAGGGGAAATTCAACAGAAGGGGTTGCACTTGGTCTGGAAAAGCCAGGGAAGGACGGAAGCTGAGCAACTTTGCCTTGGGAGCTGGGTCCATTCATACCTGAAATAGGCCCTTGGGAACCCTTAACTGGACAGTGGCCCAGACTTTCTCATGCAATCTGCAGCTCACCAGCTGGGGTGTTTGTTAACTCACTGTCTCTCTCTAAGTCTCAATTTTCTGGACTGGAAAATGGAGTCAGAACCAGCAGCCCTCCCTCCCGGGGTTGCTCTAAGAATCAGACAGTAAGTAGGTAAGTAAGCCCTCTCAACCCCACATAGATGGAAGTCCTTTTCTCGATTATGACCTAATATTTTTGGCCTTTCATTCCTCTAAAGCTGAAGTAGGCTATTTCAAAGGCCCACAAGGGCACTCTGGCCCAATAAAGAACAAGGGGCCTAAAGATAGATAATATTTCAGTGGAACTTCGCAAATGACTAGAAATTACTAGTTTTTCCTTCCCCAAGCTCTGGGTCTATTAAAAACCGGCTCAGATGTCCCCCACGGCAGAGCCGAGGTGCGGCCTTGCCGGAGGCTTCAGCGGGATGCGCTGGCTTCCTTTCCAACCTCCTTTTCAGACAACTCTGCCCATTCAGCGGTTCCTAATCCAAAAAGAATGGGCTCCCCAAAGCCTGCAGGCTTCCTTACAGGTCACCGCTAATGTCCTGTGACAGGCCCTTGGCCCACCCTCCCCGCTGGCCGGGCCATCCTCGAGGCGGTCCATCCCTCGGGCCCATTCCTCTGCGGCCATTAACAAAGAGGGTCTGGGACCGCCTGGGAGAGGGGGCCCGGACCAGGGTGTCCGGCCGGGGACCGCCGGGCAGAGCCAGGGACAGGGGCAGGGGCAGGGGCAGGCGGGGCCGAGCGGGCACGGGGACGACTGGGGCCGGGGCACCCACCTTCTGCTCGACGTTCTGCAAGCCCTGGCCCAGCTCCTCCCGCTGCTGGGAGAAGTCCTGGTGGCTGCGCCGGACCTGCTGGACCTCCTCCAGGACGTGGTGGACACACCAGCCCGAGAAGGCGGCCGCCGCCACCAGGGCGAGGTAGAAGAGAAAGTTGAGCGCCCGGCCGAGCCTGCGCGAGCAGGTCGCCGAGGACGAGGCGGCGGCGGCGGCGGCCGAGGACTTGCCGCCGCCGCGGTGGCCGCCCTTGCCGTGCGCCTGGTTCTGCGGGTGCTGCGGCGGGTGCTGCTGCGGGTGCGGCGCGGGCGGCGGCGGCTGCTGCTGCGGCGCCGGCGGCGGCTTCTTCGCCACGTCATCCGCGCCGCCCGACGGGTGGGCGCCCTTCTCCGAGGGGCTCGCGGCGCCGTGGCCGCCCTTGGAGCCCCTTTGTTTGGCCGAGGGCATGGCGGCGCGGCGGCGGCGGCGGGGGCCGCGGGCGGCGAGGCGAGCGAGGGGCGCGCGGCCCGGAAACTTGCACGGGCTCCGCCGGGGCCGGGCGGGCGGGCGGCACGCGGGCGCTGCTGGCGTCGGCGCGGCCGAGAGAGCGGGCGGCCGAGGAAGGAGGCCGGCCGAGGAGGAAGGAGGAGGGGGCCTGCCTCCGCCGCCGCGGCGCCGACCCCGCCTCCCGGGAAGGGAGGCCGCGCGAGCCGAGCCGGGAGAGCCTGCCACGCACGCCGGGCCGCCGCGGCCCCTCCTCCCGCCGCCACGACCCCAGCGGGGGCGGGCCGAGCGGGCCTGCGGGCCGGGGGCGTGGGCCGGCGGGCGGAGGCCCCGCGGGGCGGCGCTAAGGCGGCCGCGGAGGGCGGGGGCGCGGGCGCGGGGAGGAGGGCGGGTCGCCCCCGGCTCGAGCTGGCGGCCGGGCCCGCGGTGGGCGGCCGGGGCGGGGAGGCCGGGCGGCGCCGGCGAGCCGCGAGGACCCTGCGCAGTGGGCCGGGCGCGAGCCCCCTCCCGTCCCCTCCCGAGCGGGCGGAGGGAGGAAGTGGAGCCCGGGGTGGGAGCGAGGCCCGCGGCGGACCCCCGCTCCGTCCCGCTGGGAGCCACGGACCCAGCCCGCCGCGGGGTTGGGTCTCGCCTCTCCCCTTGGGTGGGAAGGCAGAGGCTGTCTCCAAACCAGCCGGCCTCGGAGGCGTGTTTGGTAAGAGTTTGGCGAAGATTCTTGGGCTGAGGGGAGGCTGTTCAAGGGACGCGTTGATGGAGCGCCCCTGGCAGCCCAGCCCGCAGGCCCCTGGACCCKGGACAGCACTTTGCCCAGCCCTCTGTACTCTGTTGTCTTGAGGGTCACAAGGTCTTCCATAGCCCCTRCTTTGGACAGACTTGGGGCTGGTGCCTGGAAGCCAGCAGCAGCCGCACCGACAGGAACACGGATCAGGGTTGTCACCCCTAGTTTTGCAGAAGAAAATAAAATAATTCCAGGCTCCGTGCTTAGCAACTTACAAGGGTTCCTCACAAAAACCCTGGCAGGTAGCAATTACTTTACCCATTTTATAGGAAGGACACTGAGACAGGCCCCCTYCCCCCCCCAACTGATTGGCTCAAGGTTATACATAGATCTGCTTCTTCCCAAAACTGTGGTTTAATCTCCTCCAAATGTGAAGGAAACTGAGGCCCAGGGAAGTTACATCAAGCTAATTGGTGCTAGGACAGGACAGAACCTCCCTCCCGGTTCCTCCTGTATCTGGTCTCTGGTGTGTGCCTGGCTTTGTGCAGAGGAATGCATTTCTTCCCTACCCTCCGGATCTATTTTAAAAGAAAAGACCTTTTTCCTGTTCTTAAAGCCAAGTTCAAATGCCACTGCTTTCCTGATGCTTTCCCTGTGACACCACTTGATACCTCTCATGGGACTTAGCAAATAATTGCAACAAGGCATTCTATGTGTTAGTTAAACCTAACTTGAGGGCCCACTATGTGCCGGACTGAAGGCCTACTATGTCTGTAAACTCCTCTCCTTGCAGGCAGGAAGCACATTGTTTAGGTTTCTCTTTTATCTCACRTAAGATGCTTTTAAAATTCTCTAGGGAAGGAGTGAACAGTTATGTTTCTGCCCTCAACAAGCTGCATTGGATTTGAAGAAATACGCAGAAACATGCTAAGGACTAACACCCAAGGTTGAGAATAGAAATGTAAAGAGAACTTGGACGGCAAACTATTGGGCTGTATGCAGGAAGTCCTTCTGGGGCTGAAATACCTCAAAGAATGGATTTGCATAGGAGAGCAGGGAGGATATTTCTGTGGCAGAAGTRGGGTGAGTCCAGGACACCTGCCTCTGCATGAAGGGTGTGTGCTGCATATAGAGATGAGCCAGTGGAGTGGGTCCAGATGCCAGAGGGCTACAATAGTCACTATTAGTGAGGGAGGCCAGAGTAAATTATAGCAGGTTCTGCAGCTGAACCTGCTATAACATAATCATCTGCCCCAGACAGAGGACCATCCTCACACTCGGTGACTACCAGGAACGATAGTAAAATACTTGGTTCCACAGGGCACAGGAGTCTACCTGGGTGGCACAGAGAAGGCAGAGGAAAACGGACAACCCAGTAGATTAGAAGGTTCTCAGAAGAACCTGCTTTAAAAACGGTCCAGCTGTGTTCAAATTATGCTTGGAATCTCTAGTGCACAAAAGAGATCATCCTCCTTCAAGCAGTCATCCGTGTCAGGGGCAGAGACAGTGATAATGCAGAACAGCTTGCTGGGGCCCAGCCAAATGCTGGCCCCRGAGGCGGGAGCCCTGCTTTTTGAGCCTTGGCTCTGCCACCAGTGTGACCTTGGGAAGTGTACTTAACCTCCTCTGGGAGTTTCAGGGTCACCCCTTCTGTAAAGTGCATCTCTAAAGATCGTATTATTTATATAAACCTCTTTCTTAGAGAGAATAGTCATCTGATATCGAGAACAGTTCAGTGATACCTACGTTTTTTTTCAGCTGGCAGACTGCAGGCCAGAGATAGAATGGAAGGATTCTCAGCTTGTGCTTCTACCTGGAAGAACAGAGGGTGGGGCGAGGGGGACTGTAGCTTTCAGTGTTTCCCTCTCACYGGTTTTTTCCTCTGGGCGCAGTGAGTATGATGGTTAAGACGGCTCTGGAACAAACCAACTTGGGTTCAGACTCAATGGACTGCAGAGTGTGACCTCTCTGAACCTCAGTGTCTTCATCTTTAAGATGACAGTTACAAGAACTACTTTCCCAGGTTGTTGTAAGGATTAAATGATGATTCTAGATACATAGAGGAAGGCTCCATGAGGAAAAGGTAGCTAACAATTTGCAGAGTCACCAGGGGCAAGTATAACTTCACAGAGTTTCTGTGTCTAGACTTCAAGGATTTTCTTTCATCCTTATTTCTTGGATCTCCAGCACCATATGTGGCTTACAAACCACACGCTATGATGTGTTTAACTAAAAAAGGCAGCAGTGTTTTCCTTTAAGTAGGGCTCCACTGTGGTGTTTGGTTACACCCAGAGGAGGAGGTTGGCCAGTGGTCATGGGAATGTCTAGGGCAGCAGGGTCCAGTGGCTTTTGGAGATTTCCATTCTGCTGTCCCCTTTTCTGAGCCAGCATGGGACACATTCAGGGGAGTTTCTCCTTCCCTTTTCCTCCTGACTCCTCCATCCCTTCTCCCCAGAGTATACTGGATGGTCAGGAGTGCAGCTGGAACCAGAGACATCTCCTCCGACCAACCCAACTTGCCTCAAAAGACCTGCGGACAGCGTGGACCTTAGACTATAGGGTGAAGATCTGAACGCCCACAGCCCTCTTGGTTTCCCTCGTTTCAGTTAGAATGCATGGAGCTCTCCCAGGAGTGCCGGTTGCCTCTTCTCCTGTTCCAGGTTGACAAGGCCCACAGAGGCCAACATGAGCCCCGGAATGCTCTCCAAACGGAGGGTGGATGGAGGTGGGGGGAGTTCTCCTTCACAGTTGGCTTTTCGTCCTAATTGCCTTCGGTGTCTCCCACTTCCAGTAACCTCCTAGGTGAGTTACCTGCTGACTGGCAGCTCACATGCGGGTTATTGAAACAACCTCCCACCTGGCCTCCCCGACCAAGAACCTGCTGCCCTGCTGTCTGTTTTCAGCACAAAGTGAGAACATCTTCACCTAAATATAAGTCAATTCATGTCACACCTCTATCCAAAACCCTCTCATGACTTTCCAAGACAGGACAAAAGCCAGAGTTTTTACAGTGACCTCTCTGTTCCCAAGTTCTGCCCCCTGCCACCTCTTATCTCATCCTGTCACACCCCTTGCTCACTGCCTTCCGGCCACATGGGCCTCCTTGTTGCTCCTCAGTATGCCAGTATGTTCCTACTCAGAGCTTTGGAATTTTGTTCCCTGGGCCTGGCAACTTTACCCCAGGTATCTACAAGGTTCTTTACTTCTTCAAATCAAATGCCACCTTGACCACCCTATGTAAAGGAACTTTATTTAGTTCTATTTTCTATCCCCAGTGCCTAGAATGATGCTAGTGCTCAACAAATGTTACAAATATCACATTATTAAAACTTGTCTACGTAGGGCCTTCCCTTTCATAAGACACCCATGAGGGAGAACAGTGGGAGGAAGGAACTCAGTGAGTATGGCCTCCAAGACCTCCAGCGCTATGATCTTGGGAACGATGGCAGTGGCAGTGATGATGGTGGCAATGGTGGGGGTGATTCAATGGTAAGATGGTGGTGATGGGATGGTGACAGTGGTGGCAGTGATGACATCTATGCCAATGAGCAGGATGATTGCTGCCACTGCTGGGCTGCAAGGGAGCTTCAGTGACACACGCCCTGTGGTCTTTGGTATTTACTGATCGCTTGCTGAATGCCAGGCACCGTGCCAGGAGCTTTACCTTCATTACCTCCTCTCACTTCAGTGAGTCTCTGGTGTAGGCACCACAGCAGCACATATCCAGTGCCCATGACACTGGACCACTTGCCCAAGGGGACACTACTTAAGAATTGCAGAACAGGCTAGAATCTAGTCAATTGAGCCTAAAACTCACTCTCTGAGCTGGCATACAAATGTACAGACAGAGGAGGACAGAGGGCCTGGAGGGTAAGTAACCAACCCAGATAAACCCCAGGTACTTCAGAAGCAGTGGGAATGTCCAGTTGGGAAGGGAGGGGAGGAGCCACATCCCAGCCTTCCTCAATCAATTCACCTTTGCAAGGGCTCCTCTTACCATGCTCTGGGTGGAAGTATTTCATTCCTTAGGGGTGCTGTAGGCAGGAAAAGAAATTATAAGGGCTGGGGATGTGGCTCAAGCGGTAGCGCACTCGCCTAGCGTGCGTGCGGCCCGGGTTCGATCCTCAGCACCACATACCAACAAAGATGTTGTGTCCGCCGAGAACTAAGAAAAAAAATAAATGTTAAAATTCTCTCTCTGTCCCCCTCTCTCTCTCACTCTCTCTTTAAAAAAAAAAAAGAAATTATAAGAGCCTCTGCCCTAGCGAAACATTTTTTAAAAATCCCTCCAAATCTGGCTCCTTCTCTTTCCTCTCTCTAGCCTGGTTGCTCTCCCTAATCCCTTCCTCCTCTGTGTTTAGCCAGACCCAGCTTCCCTGCAGTTGCCCTAATTTACCCTCCCCTGAGGAACTCAGCTTCCTTGATCTTTTTCCTGCCTTTCCTCCCAACCTGGATAAGGTACCCATCCCTGCTACACCTCCAGCTCCTAGGCCGTA